TACTTTGTCATAGAAGGTGATCAGGTTTGTCAAGCATGATTCTGAATGCGTTTATTGAGGTTACAGCCTTTAGTTTTACTTCCTCTCAGGTATTAGGGAGATACTAAAAAAGATAGGAAAATTTATGCAACAACAACAAAAAAAATTTACAAGTTGCATTTTGTGCTTCAGATTACAGAATGTTGCAGGTTGCAGGCTATGATTTGGTAACTGTAGTCTTCAGAAGGACTGCCTGAAAACTGTACTGAATCCACATGAAAGCTGGATTGAGACTAATGATTTGGACAAAGAGCAAGATCCTGAGATGGGGGCTAGCACTTGTCAGTATTCACTGAGAGGACTTAGCCACTAAAATGGAAACTTACTGTATTGCAAAGGTCAGCAAATCTGCTTATGGATTGATGAATTTGCATTTTTAGAGCCAAAGACACTGGGTTACGTAAAAGCTTTGATATTGTGGGTATATTAGTTTGTGAAAATAATTTAACAGTACTTGCAGTACAGGAAACCAGGATTTAATCTGCAGGACTACCAAAACCAGATAAAAGATCAAGAAAGCAGGAACATTGTATGAGGGGCTTTGCTCCCACAGTTCCTTTAGCTGCTCCCAGGTATTCCCAGACTTGTCTGCTGTTCTTGTCAGCAATGAGATTGCAGGTCATGCGTATTTGTGTGTAGCAGGTTTTCTGTCAGACTGCCAGAGCTGTGTTTAAGAAGAAAAGAGGATACAAATAGTGATTTTAGCAGTTTAAATTGCGGTAAAAACTGAATTGATACGTAACAAGGTAAAAGAAAGATTTTGCTTTGCTTACAAGAGCACCTCTGGTCATCATCTTGTACAGTACCTCTTGCTCAAACCTCAAACAGGTTGCCCAGGACCATGTCCAGATGGCCTTTGAATATCTCCAAGGAGGGAGATTCTATCACCTCTTTGGGCAACCTGTACAAGTGCTTGGTCACCCTCACAGTAAAAAAACATTCCATAATGTTCAGGAGGAACCTCTGTTTCCATTTGTACCCATTGCCTCCAGTCCGCCTTACACCTTCCCTTCAAATGTTTGTACATATTGATGAGATCCACCCCGGAGTCTTCTCCAGGCTGAACAGTTGCAGCTCTCTCAACCTTTCCTCATATGAGAGATGCTCCAGGCCCCTTGTGTCCCTTCGTTGGACTCTCTCAAGTATGGTCATGTCTCTCGTACTGAGGAGCCGAGAACTGAACACAGCACTGTAGGTGTGACCCCACCAGTGCGGAGTAGAGGGGAAGGATCACCTCCCCGGACTTGCTGTTGACACTCCTGTTGCAGCCCAGGATACAGCTAGCCTTTTTTGCCACAAGAGCACCTTGCTGGCCGATGTTCAACTTGGTGTCCACCAGGGCACCAGGGTCTTTTCTGCAAAGCTCCTTTCCAGCTGATTGGCTCCCAGCATGTATTGGGGTATGGGATTGTTCCTCCCCCGGTGCAGGACTTTGCAATTCTCCTTGTTGAACTTCGTGAGGTTCCTGCGGGTCCATTTTTCCAGCCTGTCAAGCTCCCTCTGGACGGCAGCACAACGCACTGGCATAGCAATCACTCCTCCCTGTTTTGTGTTATCAGCAAACTTGTTGAGAGTATACTCCTCCCCATTATCCAGATCATTTATGAAGTGGTATTTTTGCCTCAAAATACGTACAAGATCACCATCAAAGAAGAGAAGTAAGACTACACCTCAAAGATCAGAATGCAAGCATTTTTTTTAAGAGCATAAATATGGCAGTCTTGATCCTTCTTTACTAATCTTTGTATTTTATTGTTTTGTCCTAGTATAACTGTTTAGGAAAAGGATTTCATCAGGGAGGGGGATTTAATTAACTTGTATGGGGAACTTGGTGCAGTTAAAATACCAGCCATGTAAATTAGTACTTACGCAAGTGGGACTGAACAATAGGGTGCAGTGACCAGTATCAGAGAGATTCGGACTCAAGCTTTGAAGTGGGTCAAGACTGATCCTTCTACTGCTTGAAGAATATGATGCAAAGAGGCAAATTTAATTTGTGTGACTATTAAAAAACCTTTTAAAAATTCTTATTATTTTATTTACATATTTTTTATTCTCACTATTATCATCTGAAGGATTATTAAATTAGTTACACAACTTTTTTTTTCACCAGTAAATGTATTATATTCAAAAAAGTATTTTTAATTAATTTTAATAAATCTAAAAGAGTAATATTTATTAACACCTATGATTTCTGTCAAACATTCCTTTTCAGTCTAAAAATGATTTTAATCTGTATTTCAAATACTTTGTCTGAAGCTTGCAATTTCATCAGGTACTTAAACATTGGTAACAATGCTTAATGTGCTGTCTAAATTCTGGGTGTATTCAAGATTAGTTGTCATTATTATTTTGAACCTGCCAATGAAAAATGTGAGAAACAGGAAAGAATTCTGTTTCTTCTATAATCCTTTCCAAGATGAATTTCACTTTACATCTATCCTTATTCCAAGTAAAAAAGATACTTTACAGTTTTGTAATTGGTAATGCAAAGTAATGAAAATTTAAATGAAAGTATTTCATTTCAGTTTTTATTTCTTCACACTTGGAGACTGGTAAAAATCAGAGCCAAACATTGTATCTCTTCTCATTCTCAGCCTTAACACAATGCTTTTGTCAAGGCTACAAGTAAGCAGAGGTGATACAGCTCTCTAAAAGTGTTTTAATTTTTTCTTGATGTCTTAATAACATGTCTCAGTACAGCTGCTTAGTACAGTATAACTGAGCCTACAGCTCTTACCAAAATGACTTTATTTTAATTTTTTCAGCTGTTTTTAGTGTGTGTTTATAAGGAGGTAGCTGATGGATTAATTACAAAGAATAGTTCAACATGATTCTGATTGCCCAGTTTTATGGGAACTGTTATTAACAGTTACATTTGTTTAAATTACTTCAGTTACTTCATGCCAGCATAAGATTGCAAAATAGACACTTCAACTGTAAAGCAATAAAGCAAGTTTCAGAATCAGGGCCACAAGATAAAGCAGGGAACCCACCTCCTGGTCTGTTGCATTATTATGTTTGCAATATAGGCATATAAGATTTCCTTTTATGTTGATATTTGGAAGAGATTAACCTTTTCTTTGTCTTTATTATTTAGCCATGTCCCTCAGGGGCTCGTGATTTTCGAGAAAAGCAATGTGCAGATTTTGACAATATGCCTTTCCGGGGAAAGTATTATAACTGGAAACCCTACACTGGAGGTAATAGTTAGCTTTGCAAAAATGTTATCACATGTGAAGTCTTCAAGATTATATAAATGTTATATAGAGAATAATGTCTGTAAATAGAATGTTTTGATTAAAATATAATGAGCTAAGTTTGCTAAGCTTGTACTTTTGCAATTGCTCAAAACGTTGCAGAAGAGACACTTCTATTCTGGCAGAGTTTTGTTTTACTGTGAAGGGGAGGGAGCATCATTGTAGGGACTCCACTTTAAAAATATGGAGTCCTTCTCCACTTGCAGTTGCAATAGAATTAGGAGATTCCGTAGATGATCTGTAAGTGCCTCTCATCCTACAGTGATGAGTTCAACATAAAAAAACCTCACAATAAGTTTTTATTTCTTAAGATTGGAATATTAGGAAAAGGAGAAAGAAGTAAAAGCATTTATAGGAGTCCCTAAAGACTACTTCAGTAACTGAATTATAAATAATTGCACTGTGCAATAAAAGGGTATTTTGCAGCAGGGAAGAGGGCTGTAATTTCTTTTTTTCTTTGAGACAGTTTAATCAAGTTTAGTTATGTTTCTGTCATTTAAAATTTGTAGGTTGCCCTTTTATTATTTTGTTTTTTCCTGTTATAAACCCTGAGTGAATAAGTGGGTTTGTATTTTATTGACTTGAATGGTTTTACTCTTAGTTTTTTAGATTAAAAGCCTAAAAAGGATCGTGATCACGTTGTCTGAGCTGTAGTGTAATTCAATAGGACTAAATTAATAATTGAAATAGTCTGATCTTGGTTTTGAAATTTACCCTGATATACTTCTAGCACTACATTCTTTTGTTACTCTTGTTTTTCACATGGTGAAGTGGTATCTTTATTTTTTTAAATTGTTCAATAATCATTGGGGTTGTATTAACATAATGGAATCATTGTGGAGCCAGCCAACGTTGCCATATTTTACTATGCAAAATAATCTGTTTTGCAAGAAAGAAGAGTCAAGTAGAGAAATTAATAAAGGGAAGTTAAATAAAGTGTATACATTTTATGTGTCAGGCATGAGATAAGATTATAAATTTCAGATCTGTTTATGCATATAGATTTTTAACTAATTGTTAACTTTTCAAGATTTCTTCTTTTTTTTTTTTTCCCATTAATTTTTGTTGTCCAGGTGGGGTTAAACCATGTGCATTAAACTGCTTGGCTGAAGGTTACAATTTTTACACTGAACGTGCTCCTGCAGTAATAGATGGGACTCAGTGCAATGCTGATTCACTGGATATCTGTATCAATGGAGAATGCAAGGTTACAAATGTTTTATAAAGTACTTAACGGATTACTTTGTTGTGTCTGCTGTCTCCTACGTTTAATTACAGTACATGTAATTACAGTACAGTTTGTTACTTACATGAAAGTGAGAGTGTTGACAGGTCAAGTTGTTAATGAAAGAGTGAGAGAAACAGATAAAAAAGGTATTGCATAAATTAGACAAATCATTTGAATTGCAGTAGCTTCTCACAGACATTCACAGAATCCTTCATTTGGTCGTCTTTTTTCTTGCTTTATGGTTTCTGTTGAAGAATCGTTGGGAAGGGCAACAGGAGACGAACAGATTCCTTGCACTGTTCCAAGGCCTGTTCCATCATTCCAATCAGAACACCACTCTGGCAGAGAAACTGTAAATCTGAACATACTAATCTGTTTCCCTCTAACTAGTTAATCCTGTTGCAAACAATTCTGCTGTTAATGTAATTGAAACAGAAAGTTGTCTCTATAGCTCTGTAGTTCTAGGAAAAAGTGTATAATGATGCAAGTATTTGCCATTTACTAAACATCTGACTATCGTGTAAGATTCCTATAGAACTGCATTACATGAATTTGAGTAGAATTGGAGGTCTGTGCCATATTTTTAGTTCTATACATCTGAATACTTCTATTTTTAGTGAAGCGTTTAATTATGTACTTAAGTCTAGACATCTGAACAGTGCTGGTGACTCTAAAAATTATTTGATTTCACTGAAACCACTAACATAACTAAAGCTTAACCTGATGCTTAAGTTCTTTGCTAAATTGAGGGCTGAAGGTGTATGTTTATTGAATAACATGATGAGATCAAAAGCATTTGCCACGTATTAGTAAACTAACAACAACAACAAAAAAGCACTAGAAATAACCTGTGGAATTCCAGTGTACTTCATATGTAAGATTTTAGTAGTTTTGAGAAATCTTTTAAAACTAGTAATCAGACTAAATCTCAAGTTGAGAATGAACCATGTAATAAAGTTTGGCATCTGCCTTCTTGGTGAATCCAAAAGTAGTATTATTCTAACCATTTATATTTCTACTTTGTCAATTATTTAAAGTATTTTAACTTCTGTTATGACCTATGTATTACCTGTTCACAAGAGGGTAGATAATAGTTCTAGACAGTAACCAAAGTTATGTAGCTCCATGCTTTTTTGTATAAATCCTGGAAAAAATTGGCACGCTGCAGTGTTCATTCTGTTTACATCCTACTTGTTCATTGTCTTTTTTTTTTTTGTTAAAGGATCCAGCTGTCTCTTTTTCATTAGCTTTGTAATAGCTAAATCAATAAATTATACGGAGTTAATAATTGTTCACTGTACGTAGATTTCTCAAGTAGATAATCAGAAATGTAATGTACTTTTTATGATCATAGACACCTTTTTTCCAAAGGCTTTTGAGTCATATCTAATACAGCATGTAATTCAGCCTTTCACTAAGTTTCATTCTGCATTCATTCTTACAGTGAAGTCATGTACACTTTACGTTCAAACTTAAGAAAATAATTGCAAGTTTTGCCTGCAGGATGTGGAAATATGGTCTGTGAAGCTGTAAACACCTTTGGGAACAATAATACTATTTATGCTGCATAAATGTTTAAGGAACACACAGCAAGTTTACCTTAATAAAGCAATGTAGATGGAACACAGTTGTTGTAGTACTAAATAAAAACATCACCAGTCATTTACTGATAACTGTAATAATTACATTGTTTGTAAAACGCTGTGAGTTCTCTTCCTGAAAGTCACAGTAGAAATACAAAGTACTTATTAATCAAGATTTGGTAACAACCCACAATGTGGATTGTTCTCCTTTTTTATTTTCTTTCTCTGGTAAGTGAAAACCCACTTACGGTAACAGCTATCAAAAGCAGAGTAGATAAAAGGAAGAACTGATATCTCAAGCTTGAGAGAAGCACTTTAAAAGAAGATAGAGGTGTAAGACCATCATCCTGTAAAAATACTCATTCTTATCTGTTCTCAGCATGTAGGTTGTGATAATATTTTGGGGTCTGATGCTAAGGAAGATAGATGCCGTGTTTGTGGAGGAGATGGGAGTACATGTGAAGCCATTGAAGGTTTCTTCAATGATTCATTGCCCAGAGGAGGTATGTACATATATGTCCATTCTCTTGCACAGTTTAGATGATTCTCTAGCAAATACCAGTGCTGCACTGATTTTCAGCGTGGCATTGCTGCTGGTCATTCACTTTGACTCCTTTTGCCTCATTGTTTCCTTTTTCTGTATTAGTTTGGATTTATGTCAAATAGAACAATATGTTTCATTACTGAATGCTTTGGTCTCATGGTCTTTAATGCACTTAAAAAGAAGTGTGTGGGTGGTTTTTTATTATTTAGTTCTGGTGGTATAGTAAGAGTAATGTTGTGTATGATTTTAACGTGTATGGTAGAATCTGATATTTAGTCATAAAAGAAATTTTAGAATAGAAAGAATCCAGAAACGTCTCTTAAGTTCATGTTATTAAGAACTCAGGAAATGTATATGGGCAATTAGTTTAAAGCTTAGCTCAGAAAAGATGATATTAGTGTTGCAATCTTAGTGTTAATCGGTTTTGGGCTCCTGAATACAGAAAAAGGATTGATGCAGTGGAGTGAGTTCAGTTGAGGGATGAGGGACCACTAAGGTTATTAGGGTCTGGAGCACTTGCCCCTCTGTGAGGAGAGACCAAGAGAACTGGGCTTATTTAGCCTGGAGAAGAGGAGGTTTGTGGGGACCTAGTATCAGCCTTCCAATACCTATGAGGAAGTTATGGATGAGACAGAGCCAGGCTCTTCATACGGTGGGAGAAGAGACAATGGCTATAAATTGAAACAAGACAGGTGCTGACCGAATGGAAGGAAAAACTTTTTCCCCAGGAGGACAGTCCAGTGGATCAGGTTGCCCAGAAAGGTTGTACAGTTTCCATCTTTGGAGTTTTTCATGACCCAGCAGCATAAAGTGGTGAGTGACTTGGTCTGATCTCCCAGCTGACCCTGCTTGTAGCAGGAAGTTGGACTAAATGACTGTCTGAGGTCCTCTCCAACCTGAATTATCCTATGATCCTGAGGCCATTTTATACGTTAATTACTTGTGATACACTGTTGAAAAGACTTTATTAGCACCTAAAAACCAGGAATTCCTGACTACATGGTAAGTTCTTGCTATCACTTTCAAATTTTTGTATTTAAGAGTTTCTCTTTATATCACATGAAAGAAAATGTTCAAGTACATTTGAATCCTGTATCTTATACTAATTTTTAGTAGTAAATAATTTATTAATGGTTAGTTTCATGACTAATATTGATTAACATAAACAGCAACAAACAAAATTTACCTGTGTCTTATAGGCTATATGGAAGTGATTCAAATTCCAAGAGGTTCTGTGCACATTGAAATAAGAGAAGTGGCAATGTCAAAGAACTACATTGGTAAGAGCATGGTTTAAATAGCAGGCTGTTATTAAGCCAGAGTTTATGTTGTGATTTGAAGGTACAAATTTTTTGTTGTGATTTGAAGGTACGAATTTTTTCCATTCAGTGGAAAATCAGGTCAACCTTACTATAGTTATAGTGTCAGACTTGAGCTGAAGTGGATGAGAAACACTGAAATGATCTACTGTCCCACTCTGAGGTAGTGTCTTCCATCTGGGAAGTCTCTGATTTTGGGGGATTATACTGTTTTAAAACACGATTTTATTCTTGGAATGATTATTCATTAACAGCCATAGTTACTTAAATGCTAACAATACTGTCTCCTTATCTTAAGGCAATTTAATGTATTCATTCCACAGTGTTTCTGTGTTGCTGGGTTGTAGGGGCTAGATGCCATCCCTGTTTTATAGGTAAGGAAAATAAGGTGCAGAAAAACTATGTGCTTAATTGAGATCATTCAGGAAGCCTGCTGTAAAGCACAGAACTAAATTAAAATTCCCAGATTATTATTCCTTTCTTTAAAGACTGTGTTAAATTCACTTTCTGTGTTTTTTAATAATTATATATACAAATCCAGCTTTCATCGAACTCAAGACAACATGCATTTCTGAAAGTCTCTGTACCCTGATTTGCATAGCAGTCAGTTCACAGTAGTGCAAGAACACCCATTTCTTAGTCAAAAATAGATTAGAGAGCTGATTAGTTGTACAGCAAACTAACAGATTAACACAAGCAAAAGCTATTACCTCTTTAGGCTGAACAGCAGCTGACGAGGCTACTTTTGTCGGTCTGTACTCCATGTAGTTGATACATATATTTACACTAACATGTTGGAAAGGGTTATGATGCCTGTAAGTTTGAGTCAGAAGGGCAATTATCCTCCTTAGGTACATTAATTCCTAAATTGATTATGTCAATAATCAGGGTACCTTTGACTGTTGGACACCTACTTTTCTTTCTGCCTGCCCCCACCCTTCTGTGATTCAGCAGATAATCAATCTCCCTCCATTCTGCAAGAATAATAACACTACTACTCCTGAAGTAGAGTGGTTATTATTCTTTCAGCATCATGCTCCCTGTGGCCCCTCCCCCATGTCAAAATATACTGTGGGTAAGGTTGGTCATATATCCTATACTGACATTTGAAACAGAGGTGGTGAGAGAGAGGCATACAATGCATCCTATCATGGTCATTTTCTGCTAAGAACTATTCCATGGGCAGCTGAAAACCATAACAAAGAAGATAATTCTTGGCTACTACAATTAAGTTTGTTACTCCTCTATTTTATAACCAGAGGAAAGTGATCTGGAAAAGTATTTCAATTGGCACCATCTGTACAAAATGAATGAAAAATGTAAATTTTTTGGCTTAAATAAAGAATACAGACAACTTCATTGGTGTTTAATCTGGCCACAGATCTAAACATGTGAAGTGGTACAGAAACACTTTTTCTATGTGCTTGTCACAATTTCAGGGTGTTTCCTGAGTTTCAGGCTCTCTCCTCACTACCTTGCTTCATGCCACAGAAGCCCTGACTACACAAATGAGGGATTCCTCTCCTTCACTAGTTTCTTCTTTTTCCAACTTTCAAAGGTGCCATTATATCCTAATGAAAGCTAATCTTACTAAGTCGCAGGAGCCATTTCATTTTGTGATGAGAGTAAGTGCGAACCAGATCACTATTTTAGGACCACCAATTTCTGGGGAAAGGAAAGCTTCTAATTTGTCTGCTCCCTCACAAGAACTATACAAGCATGATGGTAGTTAAAGATTAGTGTATTATGTTGAAATACATACCTCAAGAGTATTGTTTTATGGGTATTTCTTTAGTGGCAGTGTCAACTTTGCAGTTCCTTCCCTGTCTTCATGGAGTTCCCTCTGTTGCTCCAGGACAGCTGTTTGTGTGGCCACACCATGAACCAGATTAGAGAACTAATTCAGCTGAAAATAACCATTTACACATAGTACTATATTTTGGTTTATGTGCACTACTCTCAAATATGTGATCATGGTCTAAGAAATCAATTTCTCCATTTGGAAGTATATAAAAAAAGATAAAAATAAAACCCTCTCCTCTGTAGTTGTCACACTGGCTTCAAAGTTTCTTCTTTGTTCATTTCAGTTAGCAGGCTTTCAAAGTAACTTTCAACAAACATCCCATGGTTCCTTAAACTAAGATGCAGTTCTTTTGCAAGCCATGGCCTCAAATTTAGGCTGCAGTTAAGACATTTGGCAATTCAGTTAGCTCAGTCAGCAGCTGTCCTCCCTCCCCCGTCTCTGGCTGATCATTTCTGCACCAATATCACTCCTAGTGTTGTGACAGCAAAAGCACGTTTCTGCAGCTACATAAATTATTCAGTATTTTAACCTGATCTGTCCAACAAATAACCCAGCAACAGGAAAAATTGCCTGTTTTCAGAGCTGCTGGAAAAATGTGTGTTTAGTAACGCCATTATCTTCCCTTAAATGGCTCGATCCAGGGTGACATCTTCCCTTATATTCCCCTTATGCAACAGGGTGTTGTGCACTACTTTTCTGTGGGCTTTCTGCATTCTCAAGTTCTCAGAAATGTTTTGATTAGGATATTAACTTGTTCCTTCTGTCTCATATGCTAATAGCATTATGCCACTGCGTCATCATTGTCATGTAATTATGTTATTGGAATGCTATTCACAACTGTGTGGACTTCACCTATGAGTAACACTTATATTAGGTAAATCTATTTACAGAATGCAAATGCATTTTTCTTTGGCATTCAGGTAAAGAATGAGCTGCTTTGCTTCTGGATATATATTAGTTTAAGGGTATATAGCATACATACAATTGATAGCATATAATTTCAGAATTATTATGTAAACATGTATGAGAATGTTTGTTCTCTTGTGCTCATTTATATGTCTCATTTGTTGTTGTTCATATGTCTCAAATATAAATAAAGAATTCACTTCAGTATTTGCTCTTAGTAGATACTAGACTTACTGACAAGAAAATGTCTGGGATTGAGTGGCACAGTAAGAGAGACTTTAATATTTCTCGGTAGCTTTGGGAGACCCTGCAACCTTCTTTTAATTAAGCTAGATTTTGTAAAAGCAGGATGGATAGAAATTTTGGCTGTGTGGAAATAGCACCACTGATAAAACAAAATACTGATGTTCAGCTGTAACAGTTATTTCATATACCTGTGTAAAATAAATAATGAAGTACTGTTCCTTTGTACAGTACTACTTGCAATTTGTCTTGTTCTCCTATACTCACTTTTTTTACCTTCTCTTTCTTGTACTACAAAACCTATATAGACAATAAGGAATCTGAATTACTTTGAGATTTCCAGATAAGTGAATGTGTCAGAGCTAGTTTCTTCACTCAAAACACATGAGTGTTTCCAAAGGAAATCCATGGAAGTCGGTGGAATAAGATTTTTGCTATGGAAAGACATTCCTTTTCAGACCTTATAGTGCTGATGGAAATGGTTACTAATCCCTGCTGAATATGGCTGTTGCCCGCAGAACATTACTGCCTCTCCAACTATTTCCCAACTATCTCCTGCTCATATGAATCCTCTCTGATCCATTTTAGAAAATTTGAGCATCATTGAGACATTTTCCCCAGTTGTTTAAGGTAAACCATCTGCCCAAACAGGTGTAGTTGAGAATAAAACTTGATCGTAAGTTGTCTTATTCCTTATGATTGTGATGCGAGTTTGTTCTCTATCTAGTAAAGTCAGTTATTTGTTTCAACAAAAAAATGACATGGCTGTTCAATCATGTATTTCCAACCATCATTTGGCTTTAAGAACATGTTTTATTTAAAGTAAATATGAATGCTGAATAACTTGGTAATCCTCACCTTAAGTCAAGAAGTCAGTTTCTAATTAATAGAATATCCACCTTGAGACACAAAGTCAGTTTCATATATAGAAACTTAATCTAATATTATCAATAAAATATCAAATATAAATCCCTGAATAATATGTGCTTGTCCGGCCTGATTGGTTGGTTAGCTAAGAAATTTATGTTTTATCTACAGTACTTTTCTGGTTTAAGGCTGTAAATTAGGAATAATAAAATATCTTAATCAGATTAAGAGGCTAGTATTCGGGTTTGTAGTAGAAATATCTTGGATTTATGCTTTAAGAAGGAAAAAAAAAAAACAGCGGACAAAAGCAACAAAGCGAGAGCCGATGGGCACCATACATCAGACTCAATCTTCCTTCTCTTTTTTCCCTCTGCACATTATCTGAGATACCTATCCCATGCCCCAACTTCTTAATCTAAAGATCAGATTGATACTTGATTATACATTTGAGACCTACATATATGTTATGTAGAACAGCATACAGGGCACATGGGGCTCAGTTTTAAAGTTGAAGATACATTGCAAGTTGCATGAGGCATTCTGTTTTGCTCTGTATAGCATCTGCATGTTGACATCTGCAAAGTATACCTGCACATTGAAGATTATTGCAGAGGCAATATTGTCAAACTGCATGAGGGATATTTTGATCAGGGCTAAAGAAAAGGCTTTATAGTGCTTGAAAAAATAGTGATATTGAGCTGAAGCTCACATATTTCTAACAGATTATTAGATTAATTTGCAATGGCTTCTCCATTATAAATGCTGCTTCCAATTTTTAGGTGGCTTGTATTTTTTTTTAAGCTTTAAAATCTGAAGAGGATGACTACTATATTAATGGTGCCTGGACTATTGACTGGCCAAGAAAGTTTGATGTTGCTGGAACAGCTTTCCATTACAAGAGGCCAACAGATGAACCAGAGTCTTTGGAAGCACTAGGTCCTACTTCAGAAAATCTCATAGTCATGGTAAAGTTATAATAAATATATTTCTGAAATTTGAAATATGTGTTTGTGTTCTGAGAAAAGACAAGGCCATGAATGAAATCAAACCAGGTTGTGTTTTCGAAGAGCATACAGCTGCCTAGCTGGGACTTTGCATTTGTGTTTTAACACAGCTTTCTTACCTTTCAAAACTGACTGGCAAACATTGTGATGAAGCAGGGGTAAAGTCAGAAGAGGCCCAGGAAATCTCACAGAAAATGCCCTGTCTCTGTTAAATGTGGTTCAGAATAATGGTAGCCAAAATTTTAAATGGGGCGTATATTGTATCTCTGCATACTGCTGATACATGGAAGTGTTGAGATACAGCATGACAGTTTCTGACACTTCTGTCGATGTCAGTGGTTTTAGGCCTGGCCTAAGTGTGAAGTATACTCTTACCACAGCAAGAGTATAATATAATGATTTGACCTGTGTTAAAGTATGTTGCTGTGACATACGTTGCTCTGAACAGCTTGTACAGAGTATGAGAATGTAACAGAAAATGTGACCAGGATCCTGATACTCTATGTCTGACAGCAGGCAATAGTGAGCCTACTGCTGTGCTACTATGTTGAGGAGGAGTATAAGAACAAGGTGATACTTGCCCAGTATATTATAGAATCATAGAATCATTTAGGTTGGAAAAGACCCTTAAGATCATCGAGTCCAACCAGTAACCCAGCACTGCCAAGTCCCCACTAAACCATGTCCCTAAGCGCCACATCTACATGTCTTTTAAATACCTCCAGTGATGGTGACTCAACCACTTCCCTGGGCGGTCTGTTCCAGTGCTTGACAGTCATAGAATCATAGAATCATTTAGGTTGGAAGAGACCTTTAAGATCATCCAGTCCAACCATTAACCTAACATTTATTGTCAGCTGCCAGATTTGCACAGGAGTTGCTTGAGCCAGACGGGATATTTTTGTGTATAGAATGATTGTTGCCTGGATATTCACATTTTAGGCAGCCTTTTCAAACACCTGAATCCTGGTTGTTCTGCTTTAGGTGTGGATAAGCTAGAGAGTCTATACAGAATGAGCTACACAACGATTATAGTACCTTTTCTTATTCAGTCAGTGTCACTGACTTTCTTACTGAAAGTTCTCTGCTCTTTTGTCCAAAGGAGATAGGCAGATAGGCCTCTGCAGAATATCACAGAAGGTAGAAGGGGATGAAATGTAGCTTGAAGATGTGTCAGATTGCTGCATATAACATGACATATATTATTAGCAACAGAAAGAAAAAGTTTGATAGCAAGTCAAAGGCTAGTGTTGGACAGGTGATATGTGGAAGTGCAGTTCAACAGTGAGGGTAGACAAAAACTCATGGTGATTGTGTACTTCCATCTATATCACCTGCAGTAATATGGCTGTAGTGAGAGTTTTGATATTCCTTTAAAGGAATGACAGGTGTGATTCCACCAAGTTAATGCTGTTGGCTATTCCATTAGGGGAAGACAATGACCTCAGCATCAGTCTGTTGCTGTTGCTGTTATTATAGTCACTAGATGTGCAAACAAGGGCAGAGCTAGGTTCATAACTGCTATGTGGGTAGCTCCTCACAGGATTTCAGTGAGGACTGCTACATGTTTGCACAGTAATGTCCTTAACTAACTTTTACCTCACATAATGATTCAGCTCTCAAGTTAAATTCCATTAAGACATTAATTTTATGAAAACTGGCTTTTTAGAATAATTATGTCAAGAATAAAGAACTGACAGAAGTTACAAAGTTGTGTTAAGGGGAAAAAAAAGACAAAACTCACCTTAGACAGTAATACTTTTTGTTTGTATATGTTTTAAGTTAGTCCAGATTCTTTTGGGAATACCTAAAAGAACTACTATGGCTTCCTTTATTATTTTTTCCCTTCCATAGGACATAACACATACCTAGATTAAATGTCACTGTAGTTGCCCTCTGCTTGCCTGTTTTAATGGTATAACCAGTTGTTTTCAACTACAGATTCTGCTACAGGAACAAAATTTGGGTATAAGGTATAAATTCAATGTTCCCATCTCTCGCACTGGCAGTGGAGACAATGAAGTTGGCTTTGCATGGAATCATCTGCCTTGGTCAGAATGTTCTGCCACTTGTGCTGGAGGTAAGACACCAGGCAGTCAAGCTACAGGGTAAACTGAATTGCAAGATACACTTTACTACATAATTATGTAGGTAACTAATTGAACACATTTCTTTCAGACATGCCTCAAACCTTAATTTAGTGAAAGAACATTTATGTTATCACAATGGATTTTGTTGTTTGCAAGTACATTTAATACGTTCAGATGTTTTTGTTAAATACAGTGTATCTTGGCACAATGTGTCTCTCTCTGCTGATTCTTTCTGAGATTCTCTTGAAGCTGGTATATTTGCTTTTCACAGGAGCTTTCTTGATAAAGGACATCAGAAGTTTTAAGTAAGGAGATTAAAAACCAGAAGGCAAATAAGGCAACTGTAAAGAAAGGGATCTGTCTTTGTGTGTTTGTAGGTATGCTTCACATGATCCTAGTCAGCCCTCCTACCCTCCAGCCACCAAAGTTTAGGATGCGTACTGGCAGCTCTTCTGTAGCAGGTGATAACAACTGGATTATACTTCCCAGCCCATAGTAGTATCTGAGAATTGTTGCCTTTTGGCAGCAGTGGGGGATTTGTAGGTTGTCCCATGTGATTCATCATGGGTGCCTTTTGCCCACAATTTACTATATTCCTAATCCTCCCTCTAGTGGCCACCAATGCAATTCTTTACCTCTGGCTGGGAGAGCAGGACAGTTGGCTTCCTTCAAAGCCAACACCATTGCTGCTGCAAGGACTGGTGAGTAGAAGTGCTGTGTGAACAGTATCTTTCTTCTCTCTGGAGACTGAATACATCATCTCCCCAACATACCTCAGTTTCAGAAGATATTGGAGGGTGCTTTAAATCCACCTCAGAATTTCAGTTTCCTACTGCACTGTGCACTGCCCATAGCAAGAGGAAGACACCATATTTTTTTAAAGACACTTTGGACCAAATATTTGTCCTTTATTTTTTTTTCTGGGTATTGGAGGTATTCATGTTTAGAACCATCTTGACTCATCTTTCTGCTGGAACCTGCTGTGGCTGTTAGTAGTTTGCTCTTTAAATACAGCTGTTTGCTTAGCCGTATGTAATATACAAAGGACAGGACAAATTCTCTTCTGTGCCGCTAAATGGAGAAAGTCTTGAAACAAAATAGAGGAAGGTGCCAACTTTTTCCAATACTTTTATTGTTCATTTTTTGGATTCCCGGGTGACAGATTGCTTTTTTAACTACTATTTATTAATGGTGAGTCTGGTAGGAAAAGAAACATTTTAAAGACGAAGTATAAAGAGGGGAAGTGCCTAACTCATAGCAAAAGACAGTTCCAAGTATCAGAACCTTACAAGTACTGCCAAATCCTATTTTTATGATGACAATGAATTAATGATCTTTAAGTCATGGGAAAACTCCCTTTGATTTAAGTAGATCCTAGTCATTTTTAGCCATGATTTTAGGCGTGGATCTTCTGTCATGCAGGTCGTTGTTTCACAAATTCAACAGTGTACAATGGAAGAAATAATGGCTCTGAAGGAGTAGGCACTTGTCTAAATTCAAATGTTTTGACTTAATTGAATAACTTTTAAGGGAAGATTTGTGAACCCCTGAAAACTGCATATATTTATTCATTTGAAACTTTTTTTTGGGGGAAAAATTTTCTTCAGTAGCTTTTATGGTGGCTAAACCAGGCACTTTTCTCACCTTCCTTTCAGTTTAGTATGAGGACATACTATGGTCACTTATTTTCACTGAGCTCTGTGCTCAGGGAATAAATATTTCATTGTAGCTATAATTTATGTTAAAAACTGTATCTGTTTTCTCCATATGATTAGCTGCTATTCCCCCCAGTTTATGAAACACCTTTTGCCATATGCCAAAAGAAGACACAATTCTAAAAAGAAGCTGAGTCAGGGAAAAAGAAAAGGGAGATGAAGGTTGTAGAGACAGAGACTGTAAGGAAAATTTGGCTAATATAAATATGAAGTGTTGAGAAAACTTAGAAATGAAACTACTGCATGGCTTTGTTTATTTCTATAGGATTCATTATGAAGTCCGTTATTGAAGTTCTATTTACTTGAACTCTGTCTTTAGAAGAGACATTTTGCTCTACATCAAAGGATAAGAAAATACTAAACAGTTAAAGAATTTCTCACTAGAAGTAAAAAAAGGACAGTAAGCATGTGTGAGGAATATTGGTATGGAAATTATTTTTTTACTTCTGAGGTTAAAAAAATTATATAGTGACTTTGGGACAGACTGTGAACAAGTTAAAGGCATCAGCATTTTCCTGCCTGTTATTGTAGTTGGTGTAGCTCACCTGTAGTGCATGGACTGATCAAGGTCTAATCATATGATACTCCATCTTGATCCAGGAAAGGTCTAGATGATGTAGAGCCAGATATACTTTTATATCAAAGCATAGGCTTTATATCAAAGCTGTAGGCAAGTCTAAATTCTAATCAACACATTTAACTTCTGTCCATCTCTGAACATGTCTGTATTTTAATGTTACGGTTTTTGCCGAGGTGTATGTAACACTTAAAAAGCTGTCTTAGAAGAACATCAAGTTTGGAAGTATTTACAAGCCAGGAAATGACAGAATTAAGGATGGCTCTGAGATCTTAGACTGTTTTCTGTAGTTGTGGCTGTTCTGAGAGACGGGGACCGGTTGACAGGACCCATTCTCTGAGGCAGTGTTACAGGCTAGCTCATATCTACTCCACACTACTTAAGTCTAGTTTTCTCTAAATCAGACTAGACTATATCTGCGTTACATACCATTTGACCAAGTCTGTGACTCTTAAAACACAGTTATTACTTGATGTATGTTTTTTAATTCAAAGAATCTAAAAAGTAAAAGGTGAGAACTGCATTACAACCCACCAAAGTGATGTTTCTGTATTGTGAACTTGAGGATATGTGTTGAATGTCATGAAATAGAGCACAAAGGCTAGAGCAGCATTTTGGCAGTGCAAAGTTTGAAAAGTTTTGGAGTAATGTATATTGTAGAAGTGTCCGATCTTTGTGCCGTCTCTTCTTCATAGTATTTTGTAAGCAATCCACTGCATTCAGCTATTCCTAGAGCTGCTTGCAGACGTCGTCTTGGAGAAGGATAACTAGAGCAGTCAGGAGCCAAGGAGCAAACTAAGAGCAAGCTAGGAGCAACCTACAGTCCTTCAGTACATGGTAACATGCTGTCTTTTCCACTGCACTTCTATATTATGTTCATCTCTGCTGTGCTCATGAGTCTCATCTGAACAGTAAAAGCACTTTAACTTTTGAAACAGGACCTCTTGTTCTAGGGCCTGGCTAAATTTTGCAGAATAGAAGAGTATTCTTCCTATTGCAGTATAGGAAGAGAAGTAAATGGAGTGGTAGGAAGGAGAAGGAGGGTTTCCTGCTTACGACAGCTCAGTGTGGTGCCAGAGGTCTGGATTCCATTCCTGCCTCCCTTGTGCGGTTCTCGTGATACTGAGCAACTAAAAGCATACATTACAGTCTTACTTGCTAATTAGCAGTTCATCATTATATGGGTACTTCTCTGGAATGTCTGACCTCTGAAGCATGCAATGAATTTCATCATTGCATGAAGTGTGTGTAAAGCAAAGCATTCTAAAAACTCAGCCAGGCACCTGAAATCAATGGACTCTTTCCACAGTAGACATTATACCTCTTCTCCCCCTGTATTCTTCATAGAGTGGTCTAGGAGATAAATCAAAGTCTGTGAAACAATTACATGTTTAGATAACCTCTAAAAAGCAGAAGGAAGTTAGTCTTTCATGAGAGATTATAAACTGTGTGTTTAGTAGTGTCATTCGTGTTAAAGGAGAAAAAAAAATATTCCATAGTTTCTCTGCCAACAAGCATCATGTTCTGTACAGTGAACCAAGCAGAAATCAAGTCTCCAAAGTCAGAGGTTTATTTTGGTATTTTCTTAAGTTTTTCTAAAAATAGGTTCTTCAGATTTACCAGGTAGTTAAAAAGGCTTGCCTGGTAACAGACAACTCTCTTATTTTCCTGGATTCATGTACTCATATGTAGGATGAGAATATAATTTCATTATTTTTTTAATATCTCTTAGTTCTTAGGCTTAGAAATCCAGAATTGCAGCTTTTCTTTCTGTACACTAGAACCAGTATTTCCTATATTGAAAAACTTTTCCTTAAAATACAAATTTATAGTATGTGAGCTAGCTCTCTGGGGACATTATGTAAAACTGAGCTACATGTATTCTCCATATTAATTCCCTTTTTTCCTGAAAGTTCGCTGGTAACTGTTCTACTCTGAGTCAAGAATTTTCAGAAGGAAAGTTTGTTACTATCTCATATAGGTCTTTATAGCCGGTGGCAGACTTGGACAAGACTACAGGAACACGAGGCCAGAGAATACCAGAATGTACAGTGCACGTTTATCTATACAGAGAAGAGTGGGAGAGGAGAGAACACATGGAATTGAGATGGGATGAACAGTTCACTGGAATTCAGAAAAAAATCATGACAACAGAAGATTTTTCTTTAAAGACCTGATTATTATTTAATGAGAAAGTCTGAGAAAGGGAAAACTAGAATACATAGAAATAGGAAATAAAACAATAAAATGAGGGCTGGAAAGAGAAGATAGTGCTAAAATAAGAAAGGGTGATATATATATCACTTACAGATCACAGAACTGTAGTTTATTTACTCTCATGCCTGTCTTTCCTTATATGTTATCTTGCAGCTTTCTGAGGGCAAGTGTATGACTTTGTCCAGATCCATAAGTATTCTTAATGAGGAAGTGAACTGCTGGTGGTATTGTTTAAAAAAATCCAACAAAGGGGAAAAAAATCCTTCTAGGTGTTTTTACTTTTGTATACATTTAAAAATAAACTCCAATAAGTGCATACCACCTTCTTTTTAATTTCTTCTATGCTTAATAAATTCTAGCAGTAAATGGCAACAAATGACAGCATTTGTTATTTGGAATTTACCAGGTATCCTAAGCATTGGTTTTGATTTCATCCATTCTATTAGAGTTCATCTCCAGATGAGTTAAGTGTCTTAGATAT